AAAAAAAAAAAAAAAAAAAAAAAAATCACTTTCAGTTTCTGAAGGAAGCCATGGCTAAAGACGCTCTCCACTGGCAATTTTCCTTGGCCCACTTTCTCCTTATGAAGGTACGAATGTTCCCTCGCCCACTGATAACTTACCCTTTCCAGGGATTTCAGGAGGTTCTGTCTTTCTTTGAGCTTCTGAATACTGATGACGATTTTGTGTCTTGCTCCTTTGGTAACATTCTGTAATTAAACATGAGTTCTGTTCACAAATTTCCTCTTTTTTTTTTTTTTTTTTTGGCGGTACCGGGGATTGAACTCAGGACCCTGCACTTGCCAGGCAAGCGCTCATTCTACTGCGCTCTCTCCCCGGCCCACAAATTTCCCTGTAAGAGCCAGCTCAGTCTTTCAGCAGCTACCAGGACTTGGCGTGTCCTTGGTGCTCTGCAGGCTGGCGGTCTGCAAGCATCGATCTCTTACCGCCACAAACCTCTTCTTGCTAAATTCTTACTCCATCTGGCTAAAGCTTTGCCTGGGTCTTTTGCGTGTGACTTTTGGGACAGTGAGCGACAGAAGAGCCAGCTATTTTACTGAGCATGAACTTTCTTCAGTCTCTTCAAAGAGAATTTGGGGTCACAGGCACCTCTCCTTTCACCTCCATCATTGAAGCCCCTCTTGGTTCCCCTCAAACCTTTTTATGCATCTTCAGGAAATAGGAAGCCTAGCCAAGGCTATGTAGGTGTCATAAGGCAGGTGAGCTCTCTTAGTTTAACAGCCCTCTTTTGTTTGTAGGAGGAAAACCAGAATAGAAAATGACCCCTAATTCAGCCCCTAATTCAGCCCCTAATTCAGCCCCTAATTCATTCACTCATCAGTTCAGGTCAGTGCTACGGGTCACAGGCGAGAGTTGTAGATTGTACCTCCTTAACCGTGAGCCTCAGGATGCCAGGAGACCCTAGTTCACTGTGGACACTAAAGGTCCCCTAGTAGAGGGTCCTTTTTCTGATCAGCCCTCTGATAAAAACTTCTGGGAAACTCTTGCAACCATCCCAGAGATTTTTTTAAGTGGGGAGAAGGATGAGAACAGCAGCAGCATTTCCCTTAATTAGAATAATTAAGTGTCAAGCAGTGAATGAGTCCACTCTCTGCAATTCTGTGGTGTATTTCCATTTCACCCCAACTTTGGACTCAAATGAATTAAACTACTCTGGGAGGTTGGTGCCAGCCCCTGGCTTTGCCCACTGGATTCCTTGTTTCTTCTCAAGTTGAACAACTGATGACTTAGATTTTTTTTCCCTTTAACTCCAACCCAAACACAAACACCCTCTTAAAAATGGTTCTCATCCATCCCTGAGATCTCAAGCAGTGGCCGAGATGCAAAAAGCAATGGGGGAAACCTTAGGAAGTCGGAACCGGCGCCTTCATTCGCAGAGAATGTGCATGAGTCTGGGCTCTGTCTCGCCCTCGGCACTGGTACTCAGCCAGGGTGCTGAGGTCAGTCGAGGCTACGGAAGCAGCAGGGAGAGCTGGAGCTCTGAGCAGAGCAGGCCTCCGGACCAGCCCTACCCCAAAGGTACACACTTCCCTTCCTGCAGGGGAATATTCTTAGCCCCTTTCAACCACCAGTTCTTTAAAAATCACTGCTCAAAGGAAACTGAGGTCAACCTGAAGCATGCAAATAGCACTTTAAACAAGGACGAAGGGGATGTTGGTCAGCTCAGGGTACCGAGCTCAGCGTGGCAGGAGACAAAGTTTAGGGCGTGGCAGACCTGGCCTTTGACATCATGCTTGAGCCTTAGGAGGGAGGAGGGACTTTGTCCTTTAAGGGCATGCAGGAGGGAATGAAGTCTGAGATGTGGGAAAATCTCATTTTTTTTTATTTTTTATTTTTTTAGAGCAGAATATTTATTGGGGGAAAGAAAGCTTCTGTCCGAGAGAGGGACAGAAGAGGGACCTGAGCGGGTTACCCCAGAAATCTCATTCTTAATCATGGCTGTATGCTGTATGCAAGGTGGCTAGAAGAAAACCAATATTCTAATTTATTCCAATCTTTTGACTAAGGTTGGGCTGGATGTAAAGTGGAAAAAGCACTAAGGCATGTCTGGGGCCTGGCCCAGGGCCTCCAGGACCAGTCTGGTTAGAAGTTAACTGGTAAATGACCAGACTGGACAGAGGACAACGGAGCTGTCCACACTTAGGCAAGTTCTGGGGAGTAGCAAGCTGGAGACCCTGACCTTCGGGGGTGTTGGCCCAACACCAATTCTTCCAGGAGAATCCACAGACCCCGCAGCAGCCTGAACTTGCTTAGATTTGGTCTCGTCCAAGCACTTGCTTCCCCAAGCCTCTTCCCTACAGTCACCTGTGTGGCCTCGTCTCCTATTGCACCCGTGGGCAGGAGCTCAGCCTCAGCCACCTCGGCTACACCCCGCTCCTGCCAGTCCCCAGAACAAGGTGGGTGCAGCTGGCATGGGGCCTGCACGTACCTGAGCCTCCAGCTGGCACTCGGTGAGGGCCATCATCTCCTCGTAGGTCATCTGCGAGAACAGCGCAGCGTACTTGTGCAGACGCAGGCTCTTCAGCCAGGCCGGAACATCTGGGGCGCAAAAGGCGCAAGAGATGGGGAAGAAGAGGCATGACGGGAACAAGAGGCAGGGACCAAAGGTATGCGAAGAGAGAGGCAGGAAGAGGAGAGACAGCGAGGAACAAAAGGCGATGGTAGGAAGAAGAGAAGAAAAATTCATTAGTATTTCACTTCAATACCTGATGACAAATCTTGGGCTGACCCTGAGCTCCCCACGGGTGGGCTTTTTCATTCTACTTCAGACCAGGGGTTGTTAACTCGGTCCATAGGTTCCCTGGAATTCTGCATAGTTTACTGGGCAAGTGTCACCCGCAGGTTTTCCAAGAAGCTCAGAGGGGCTCGTGGCCATGACAGGTTTGGTGGTATCACTTCCTCACTGACTTGGCAAGGACTGACTTAGATGTTGACTGGGCCCGATCGGTACATCTCCGAATGACAGGCGCAACGATGCAGACCTCAGGCAACAGGGGCACCCACGAGTGGAGTGACCGGACTTGGGCCTCCCTAGGCCCCAGTGGGTGTAGGGCACCCTGGATCCCAGCACTGGCTCTTTCATGGGCGTCTGACTGTTCCTCCAAGCTACAGGATGTGGATGGCATTTTGATTTTTTGCTTGGAAGTCAACCAAAAGTATACTACAACTTGAAAGGTCCAAAGATTGGCCAAGCCAAATGATACTAGGAATTCTAAAGCACATATGAAATAAATCCCAAGAAACCAGAGTTAAGGAAGAGGAACTGAATCTGAAAATCCACAGAATTATTACCTTGCTGTGTACAAACAAAACGAAGCCTGTGCATAACTTTTAAGTCACTTTCAAAGCTGTAAGATCTTTGAAAAGTTCCCAGAATCATTCTGTGTACTTCTGGCCTCTTTTAGAGATGGCAACAGTATCATTAAACCCGAATCACAGGACAATTAGGCAGTGGAATGCAGTCTAGAACCCCTGTCTGCCGAGTCCCAGCTTCTCTTCTACATTGTATCAATTTTCATAAAACGAGGACTCAACAGGACAAAGCTGCAGAGCCTTGGAAGTGTCGTGCATGCTTTCTGTGAAGTATTATCTCTTACCAACCGTGTTGATTGTGAGAATCCACATTACTGATTGCTAAGTGTTTTATTCTGAGGCATCAATGAACCACACACACTGGAAAGCAGGCAAGAGCCTTCTGATTTTTCATTGTTGAGTGTAGGTCCTTGGCAATGAGGGAAGACACCTAACCAACTCTGGAATCAGGCTGTGCCTCTCGGACTAGGGAACGTAGTAGGAAGAGCTCCAGCGATACCATGACACAGGAGGGGCTGTGGGCCTGCTGGGGTTCTTTCATGAAGGCCAAATTGTGGGGAAGGATTGCTACCCAATTTGAGTTAGACATTTGATGGCATTTTAAGAACAGGTTCAGTTATGTCAGGCTAGAAATCACTTCATTTTGTGCTCGGAAGCCTTTTAATCTACTGTGACCAAAGGGAGTCCCAGAGGGGCCATCATTCCCTTACCTGTGGGCAACTTAGATACAGTTGGATCAGGAGCCTGAGGCACAGCCACTCCGAGGCTGGTACTTGCCCTCCCGTGACACACAGCCTAGAGCTTTTCCTACCAGCCTTTCCTCTCTGCCTGAGTGTGCTTCTGTTGGAAGACGGCGCCAGCTCCAGCTTTCAGGCCAAGCGAGCATCACCGCTCCGTCACCTAATTTCACGGGAGCTAGCTGCATCCCAGGTCACTGCTCAGACAATATGCAACCGCTGGGATTCAGAGAAGTCCAGGAAGCCCGGTGCCACGCCTGCAAAGCACGCGACGCCTCTGCTCATGGAAGAGCAAAGACCAGCCCATGGACCGGACTGTCACCGAGTACCCTCGAGCTCAGCCACAAAATCATGGCACAAGAGGGAGTCCTGTGCCCAGAACAATGAGCTGCACATCTAAGGCGAGAATACTGAAGTTAAAATTGCAAAGACCTGAATAAATGAAAATATACCTCTAAGAAACAAAGACATTTCCATCTGATAGAAAATAAAAAAAGAAGGGTGAGGGGCAGTTCCCATGGTGGCAAGCCAAGGTCTCTCCTGTGTGACTGTTCTGACAGAGTCCCTCTTCTGAGAGGCATGGAAGAGCCTGGCTCACTAGTTTCATCAAAACACAGGTCCCGGGAGTGGGTTTCCTGGGAAAGACTCCGCCCAACCCCATGCCAGGGTGCGTTAGGCCTTCCTCAACATGGACTCCTGCTCACTCTCCTGGGAGAGGTGAGCTCCCCTGCTCCCTAGTGCAGGTGCAGGACAGCAAGCATCTCAGTGTCTGGCTCTGCCCCTCGCCCTGGCATCTGGAACTGACGGACACAGGCAAGGAAATCCCAGCTCTGAAGAGTGGAGCCCGCCAAACTTGCTGCCCTGCTTGGTGGGTAGGCACCTTCCCTGTCAGAGACGAGAGCAACACTCCAAGAGGGAACAAAAAGGAACAGCTGGAGCCACAACTACTTCAAGCCTCAGCCAGGAATTCCAGGGACTCGAAAGGCTAGGTTCTGTGAGATGTGGGCGGGGACGACCTCTGGGATGATCTCTGAAAGACCGACAACGCTCCCCAGGGCCCATCTGGCGCCCTGCTGGGTGCTCTTAGCACCACTGCAACCTCAGACCCCTCGCCCATCTGTGAGCTGTGGTTGGCTGAGGCTGGGAGGTAATGAAGGCGCACAGCCCTTCAGGGCTCCCTCCGGCAGACACCGCAGGGCACCAGTGGAGGTCCTAGAGTTGAAAGTCACTCTCCTGGGGTGAGAGAAAGACAAAGCCACTTGGCAATAGCCAGGCTGAGCTCCTTGTGGGGCGCCAGGGCACCTCCTGTGGAAGCCAGGCTTGATGAAGACGTGTTCTTGCCAGCAAGGAGCTTTCCATCCAGAAGGCTCACGCACTCCTAAGGGACAGCGGCTGCGGCACAGGGGCCGAGTCTACTCAGCGCTCCCGAGAAGCAGAGAAGCATGAGTACTTGGGGTTGCCACGGGCAGCAAGGGACAGCTTCCTGTAACCTGGAGTAGCAGCAGCTTGGAGTCCGCTGGCAAGACCGGGAAGCAGGAGCGGTGGGAACAAAGCACGGAGTGGAGAACATTGGGGCAGAGCAGGTGCTTTGGGCAATGGTGAAGGCTGGAGGGAGGGACATGCAGGCGGAGGGACCAAGACGTGAGGTGTTCAGTGAGGACAGCGGGCGGCATCTTGTGGGGGGTGAGAAAGTGCTGGAAGGTGAGCAGGAGGAGTACCATAGGGCATGTCCAAGGGGAGGCAGGCCCTCGGGGCAGGGTAGGAAAGAAGGTTAATAGGTATGAGGGCCTGGGATGACAGCACCACTCTACCCGTGTGCATTACAATGGTTCCCTGGTCCACAGCCCTCATGAAGCGCCTTCAAGGTCTTACTGCAGTCCACCCTGGCTTATCAGCTTACATCCATTTTTTATAATAGCACTGTACTTATCTTATGTTCCATATTTGCCTGCTGGCTTTTGCCACGGGGGTCATGTTTTAACTCATGCCAATTTCTGTGTCCCTTTTGGAGTCTGGCCATGTGGGGCACAGAGAGGGGCTGTGGTGTGTGTAGGGCTTGCACAGGGGCTGGGTTCCAGTGAGACCCTGGGCTTCCTTCTGTTAATGCCTACTGCAGGAATGGCTGCAAATATCAGCTCAACAAGCCATGTGGCACCCAAGTCCCAGGTGGGAGAGGGAGAAGAGGGAGAGAATGAGGGCATGGGCTGAAAGCAGGCAATGGCATCTAGAGCAAGGGCCTGAGTTTGATCCCTGGTACCACAAAGAAAGAGTACAGCCGCAGGAGAGGAACGCTCACCCAGCTTCCCCCAGAAGGTGCATGGGTGGCGCTCCAGGTACCTGCGGGTGGGAGGGCAGCTTCCCTTCACAGAGAGCCAGGCTGACTGCAAAGGCTGCCTCCCTCTTGGAGAGGCCTTTTGAGGACAGAGCAAGACAGCCAGCGGCCAGCTCCTCAGTGACGAGTAGGATGGGACTGAAGGGCAGGAGTTTAGCCACGCCACAGCAGTGGCCGAAGCTTGCCTTTGTTTCAGAGCAAATGAGCAGCCTAATGTTGTCCTGGCTTCCGGAGGAAGCCTGGGCCCTGGTTCCCTTTGCGTGGATTCTCCCCAGCATACTTTTGACCCCGAGACACAGCCAGGAGGGGCTCCATGCTCAAGGGGACCTGGATGGGTCTTGGAAGGCACAGAGCTGGGGGAGTTTGGGGGAAATGTTCATGCTGAGGCATAAAACGCAAGCACAGGGAGCAACTGTCTCTGTATTGTCCCACTCACCATGATGCCCACGAGTTCCTCTATAAGCTGCTCTGCATCACAGAACAGTGTTGTGCGTGGCGCCGGAAGCTGCTCTTGGCACCCCAGTACCTTCCTAAAAACCTCTGTTCTTGGCAAGCAGTGGACGTGACAAAAACCCCAGACCCTTAGGACCCTGAGGAAACCTAGGGATGCACTTTTCAAAGACATCCAGGATCACGACCCCCTGTGAACAGTGAGGACCCATCCATTCAGATCACCCGTTGGCACTCGGGAATACAGAAAATGGGACAGATGTGTTCAGGTAAAATGAATTCCAGACAGTACCTGGGAAGTCAACATTCAGAAAGTAATGACTAGTTTCGATGACAGCCATGCTGAAAAGTGTCCTGGACACTCCCGGAGTGGTGTCACTCCCATTCTATCATGCAGCTCTTTATGACCCTGAGAGATGCCGTAGGCACCGCCTCTCCTCCAAAGGGCTCTGACACGCTTCCTTTTCTTAAAAAGGATCTCACCTCTCAATAATTTTCTAGTCTTATTCCAAGAGAGCCTGGGGATTAAAGGTTTACCTTTCAAGAAACACCTCCGAATGTCACCCTGGCTATTTCAGCGTAGATGATTTATTTTCTCTGCTATGGAGCAAGTTTCCCCAAGTTCCTAAGAAAGAATCCTTAGGAATGGCAAACCACACACACGCAGTCCCTGGCCACCGCCATTCTTAACTTATGTGTCTGGCAAGGCTGTAGGAGCCAAGAATTCCTTCTTGTCTATTTATCATGTCCCTATGCAAACAAAACATCCATCTTGGTCCCTGCTCTATTTCTGCGCTGACTGATACCGTGTGCTGTAAGTTCGCCTAGCTGATGTTGCTTCATAACAGTGAGGAGAAGAGAACCCAGCTCCAAGCCCTCTCCTGTACACAGACAACTACCCAGGAGGAGTGGGTGGCCCTACAGGGACTACTGGGGGGCTTACACACTTCCCCTAGAATGATCTACATCTCCCCACGTTCACCGTGCCCTTGGTTCTCCCATCATCTGCTTCTCTCCCATGATCCTTTGATGTAAGGTGCCATCAAGGGTCACCTGATGTCTCAGGCAGAAACCTGGGCAGCCTTTCTTTTCCTGTATTTGGTACAGGGTCTCACTATGCAGCTCGGACTTGTAGTGGTCCTCCTGTTTCAGCCTCCCCAGCGCTGGGATTACAGGCATGTGCTACCATGCCTGCTCTTGGTGGCAGGTTGAGCAAGCCCGGGGATGGGGCTAGCGTAGCATGTGGTGCCAGGGATCAGAGTCCAGTCCCTGCACTTGCCTAAGCAGGTGCTTAGTCCACTGAGCTATCTCGCCGGCCCATGGGTAGCATTCTTGACTACACCATCACTGGCTCCATTCAGTAAGTTCCCCTGCAGCGCCTGTCACCACACTTCCGTGTCCATCGCCACTGCTGCTTGTCTGGGTCCTAACTTCATTTTCCTTCCCAATTACTGAAAAATTCTCCACCTTTCTGCTGGCCCCACACCCAGAATCCACTGTTCTGCTCACCTGGGCCTGTCTTCCACCTGGGCTCTTTCTCTAGTACACAAATCAGAGTGATTCTGCTGCACGATGTCTTTCAATTGTTGTAAGATAAAGGACAGACAGGACCCTCCTCGGCCAAACTCTCTCCTCTCTCTACTTCCACAGGGCTGCTCCTCTGTGCTGAGCATCGCTCCTTCGTGCTAACCAAGCTCGCAGATGCTTTCACTAGGAACTTTCCCTGCATCCCCTCCTTTTGAATCAGGACCCTTTTTGCTGTCTACCCTGACCCAGGGCAGGTCTTGAAGACAGCACAGCTCTGCAGCAGTGCCCTGCATTAGGTACCTGCTTGCTGCTCTAAAAGGAGTCACCCAGAGTCTGCTTGTCCAAGCCTCTCTACAGGTGTTCAAAAACTTCACTAACCTGACTGAGGACCAAGGCAAAGGCCTGAACCCTCCCTTCTCTCAGCCACATCATTCATCAACAGCCCTGACTTTCTGCATCACGGAGGATGAGATGTTGACGTGAGGGACAAGTAGGCTTTCTCCACTTCCAGACCTTCTCTGCCTTCTGGGGAAACAGGGCAGCCCAACCCTCCCCCCAAGGATGAAATAGGAACAGAGAGTGCATATTCCACCTACGTGCTGCCTCTGCAAGCGAAAGGCATCATAACTGAGTTTCAGCTCTCCCTACTTATCCCAGGGAGAGATAAGTCACAGTGAACGTTTTGGAAAAAACAAGAACAATCCAATTTAAAAACCACAATCACCATCATCAACCCAAACATGTACAGCCAGTAGCCTCCACAGGGAATGGGGCTGGGAGGAAACTTTCCTCATATTCCAGCTCACTCTCCACTCTTCTTGAGTTAGTTTTACATTGATTGGTCCACTCCATTTTTCCCTTAGTTTGAGATGCTTCCTGAGCCTGCTTCAGATGGAAGGGACAGTCAGTCTGAACTTGGAGCCAACTTAAACCATCACGGTGGGCTTTTACTGTCAAAGGAAAAACACAGCAAGGTAGGCAGATGCTATTATTCTTTTGAGGGTGGGAGCTGGTCTACCTGGGGAAGAACTTAGTGGCAGACTAGGCTGACCTCAAGAAAAAAGAAGAGGGCTAGATCAATGCATGTGAATAATAAAGAGCAAGAAGAGTTTATTCCATATTCTTGACCCAAGAGGTCCATTCCTAGTGGGCGACTGTAGCCAAGCTTGGCTAGTTGGTCTAGGTGAAAAGGCAGGAAAGCCTGAAGGTGCTATTTCGGCAAGCTATGCCTACCTGTTGGCTAGAAAGACGAATTCACACACTGAACGAAGCTCACCGATGGTGACTTTCTGTTCTTTCCCCCAGGTGTAATGTCTGGGCAAATATCTTTCCTGGAGATTTGTGGATTCATCCAAACTGTACCACAGACTCCCCGTTCATCTACCTGGGCAGTTCAAGGATGACATCCAGGACAGAGTGGACCCTACTGCCCTCTGAGATCCTGGGTCACAAGCAAAGGGTGTAGGTCCAAGAAGAAGGCCTGGCTCTATTTTTTAGAAGCTCTTCACTTGATTTTCATAGTTCCTTTCTTTACAAAAGGGTGAATTAATTTGGAAATAAAAACTAGCAACTTCTCTGAGACAAGGCAATCAAATGGCAAGCTCTTGGGAGGGCGTGTGAAAGACATGCTTCTAGGGCACCATGTTGACGAGGATGAACAAGAGTCCTTGGTGGAGGACGCGTCACAGCTGGTCGGGGAAGGGGCACAAAGGTGTAGTACACATGGGCTGTGACACTCTGGGCTGCTAATGTTTCTGGGCAGGGACCTTTCCGCTTCCTAGCTTGCCGCCTGAGCTGCAAACACACTTTCTCAACAAGTAGAACCTGTCACCATCCACGTTCCGTCAAATACTTTTTTTTTTGGCCACTTAACTCACTTTGAATTCCTATGCAATTCTTTGGGAGACGGAAATTTCAATAGGTCAAAAAAGGTAGGAATACATATTTTTGTCTGGGCACCAAATAGCCCATTTTTTGACCAAAACCTGTAAGGCTATCATATAGAAAATGTTAGATGTGCCATTTTTGTCTGTCATATTTGATTAAATGAACTCGGAGGAGACAATTCTTACTAATTCTAAGAAAGGAATCAAATACAAGTATTTATGGGCTATACCTTGAACTGTGGCACATTGGGTTACTCTTTCATTGGGCTTCCATTGGGTTACTCTCATTCACGTCTCTTAAGAAATATTTTTATCCATTTATTACCTCAAACATTTCTTGCCTGCTCACAACAAATAGATCTCTACCTCTTTTTGGAGCAAGTGAGAGGTAGACCGAGGGCCTCAAACAAAATTAATCAAAACAATGAAAAGAAAGAAAATAAAGGGAAAGGAAGGAAAGAAAGCAAATATCCAGACGTCAGACTGGGGATCAGCTTTCTTCTTGGGAGGGCTCTGCCCCAGGGTAAAGGGCCTTGCCTCAGGACCCAGGCCGGAGGCCAGGGGCTCTTCTCACAGGCACAGTTTGAACCCCTCCTGTGCTGTCTCAGACACAGGCCACTGGGGTCCCAACCTGCAAAGAAGCTGGTCGGAAGTTCCCTCAGTGACAGATGCCAAGCCAGGCCTACCAAAAGCACGGCTGGCCGAGCCTTCCCTGTAGTCTGGGACCTGGGGCTCCACTGCTGGAAACCTCATAGCACCAAACCAGGAATGGGTTCTGCTCTTTCTCCACAGTGGAGGTGCAGTCCCCTGGAAACAGTGAAGGAGGAAGAGGACAGGCGTCTCCTCCGTGCCTGCGTGACCCATGGCCGTTGCTGCCCGATATGCACCTGTGAAGACCCATTTGTGTTAGAGGAAAATGTCCCGTCACATGCCCTTCCTCAGGATCTCAACACAGAGACCACTATGAATGGGAGGCTGGTATGTGGGACGGACCCAGGTCAAAGGGCTGTGGTTTTCAGCCTGTGGCGCCAGGTGGGGGGCGCTGGTGCAGTCTCCCATGTTGATGGCCATCAGTGTGCAAGGGGAAGACGACTAGGGCAGCACACCCCAGGCTGAGTCTCTCTAGCAGAGTGTCCCCTCGGCCCTGGCGGCCCGGAGCCGGCCTGGCTCCTGTCCCTTACTGCCCATTGCTATCATCTGCCTCTGATGAGCACCTCTCCCTAAGGACCTGTAGCTCTTGAACAGCTGGAGTCTAAAAATACACAGACCGCCCCTTCGAGCCTATGAGTCTGCCTACCACAGGTGATTCGGAAATCTCTCTCTCCTGATAAGAGTCTTCAGAAGACAGGAGATTTCCAGGGACCCTTGTTTAGGCCGCACTAAGGCCTTTCTCACCTACATGCAAATCTACAGTCAGGCTTAGAATACTGTCAGTCCTTTTCGGTGAGTTTTCACGGGCCAGGCAGGGAAAAGGGCGGAGAGGTTTCTTTGGATAGCAAGGAAAAGGGGAGAAAGGAATTCTACGCTGAGACATTTAGAAAGGAAAAGAAAAATCAGATCAGTGGTTTGTGTTTTTTAGTTAGTGACAAATACCCAGCCACTGCAGCAGGGCAGGAGCCGGAGCGGCTCCACAGGCTTACGGAGGGATGAGCCGTCCCTGCTAGCCAGTGGTCTGCTGGAAGGGGTTCCAGGCCTTTTCCTGGAGGGCCAGGCTAGCAGGGCAGTTGGCAGCCACAGGCCTGGGCTCTCTCTCTCGCTGACAAAGGGAGGGACGTCGTGGTCCCTCAGTCATCACTCACCTTTCATACCACTACCTTCTTCTTGGAATGTGTTACGAGCAGTGGTCTGATCTTCTAAGTGTTCACTCCCACCACTTCCTGAAGAGGCTACACTGCTTTGTGGAGACAGGGGGGCATGATCGGAGGGGAGGCACTGGGGTCCTCTAGCTCGTAAGTCCTCATGAGACATCCATCCATGTCCTAGAGGCTGGTTTGGCACATTCATGGGTGGGGTAAGGGACACAGATCGTTTCAAAGGGCTGTGGTGTGCCTGGCCTGAGAGAACTGGAAAAAAAAAATAAAATGAAATAGGTTATTCCCCCCCCTTGAGCCTAGGACGCAGAAACCACAATAGCTTTGCACCCGAGGTACCCTAACTGCCTCATGACTCTGCCCATGGGCACAGCAGGTGGGACACAGGCCTGGCAGGGACCTTCCCTCTGGGGGGTAAAGAGGATGTTGTGTCGACCTCTCAGTGGGCCAGGTTGCTCCCAGGAGACCCGCACACCTGGCTTGGCTGGTCTATGGTATGCACCTGGCACAGCCATGTGTGCACCTGGCTTAGCCGGTGTATGGTGCGCATCTGGCTTTAGTTCTAACCTTGCAGTCAGAGTCCGCATGCCTCTGGCCAAGTGGCCATCTGCCCAAAGTGAAGAGAAGGTGCTGGACATTATTATTATTATTTTTTTTAAGCACAAACCCTGTCATGATTGGTGGTGTTAGGGAGAACTTCCTGAAACATGGGAGGCTGGTCACCATTCAGGACACAGGCAGAGCTGAGCTAGGAAGAGGTGAATTGGTGCTTCTAATCAGGGGTCAGGGAACACTTAGCTCTGAGGGGTGGCGTCAGCTTAGTGAGGGCCTCGGTACTTATATGACCTTGGGCGCAGGACAGTGACAGCTCTGGGTAAAAGGGCTGATTCTTCGGCTTGGCCTCCCAGGCTCTCGCCAAGCTGTACACTGCAAACACTTCCAGGTAACAAGGCTTTCATTCAGAAGCCTGCGGGCTCTCGGCCTGCCAGGGATGGGTTTTACCAGCATGTTCGGCCCTTCCGCACAGTGGGCAACATCTGTGCCGCCCAGGTCTTTAATTTCTTTCCCAGAAAACTAGGAAATAGCAACAAAACTCACACAACTAGCCAAATTGAATTGAAGGCATTCAAAGGAGGTATTTAACTGACATCAACACCAAGGGAGCCAAAGTTACCCTTGATTGGTTTTTCTGGGTGTGTAAAGTGACAACTTCACAAAATAAGTCTATTCATAACATTCTCTCAGTGCCAGTTCCTGACAGGTCCAGTTTATTTTGACTGCTGCTGTGCTAACATGGAATTGAGCCACATGCATTTTAAAACATTTTTCAGGGAAGCCATTAAATTCCATCTCAGGTTCTATCCCTTTCAGGGACACATTTGCTTTCTCAATTTCGGATTAGTACTTCTTTGCTGGCATTGACCTGTTTTTCAGTAGGTAGACCAGATATCCCAATGCAAAAGGCCCTGGCTTTTCATAAAACCTGCATTTCTTCTGGGCCAGCACCCTCAGAAAGACTTGAGGGGCTGATCACTGTGCCCTCTTTTAAAACAGGAAGACCAGAGTCAAGAGGTATTGCCAGAAAGTGTGTGTTGAGGCTGTCATGAGTGAGGGCAGCTGATGGTCAGTGCATAGTGACCAGGCTCCCATGTGGGTACTGTTTCCGGCCAGCCCCAGGTGGCCAGAGGGGCTGCGTTAGTGCCCAGAGATCCAAAGTACTGCAAACTTCTCTAACGAAAAAGGAAAAGAAAAGGGAGCTGCTGGGTTTAGTAGTTGTAACCTCAGAAATTTTTCATTTGAGTAAATTCTATCTAAGGCAAGGAATTATCATCTACCTTTAAAATATGCAATGGGGATACTGCTTTTTTTTTTTAATGAACTCAAATAGCTTGACTATTCATTAAATAGATGAAGAAACTTAAAAAAAATTTAATGTATTTAATACAGGGTCTACAGGGTCTCACTACATAGATCAGACTTGTAAAGATCCTCCTGTTTTCAGCTTCCCAAGTGTTGGGGTTATAGGTGCACACCACCATGCCCAATCTCAATCACTGTCTCAGCATGCCCCAGGGCGGGGCTGGCACTGCAGGCTGGGGATCAAACCCCTGACCCTGCGTCTGCCTAAGCAGATGCTTTAATCTGCTGAGCTATCTGGTTGGCCCTTATCTGAAACTTTTTTAATAGTCTCCCTGGAAAATGCATGGCTACCTGCTTGGAACAGAATTAGCAAAGGAAAAAAAGGGAAAGAAAGAAAAAGAAATAAGTAAAAAAAGCAGCAGCAGCAAAAATGAAGAGGGATAGGCAGATGCGGCGGCTGGGGTTCAGTCCCCGGCGTGCTGTGCCAGCCCTGCCCCCAGAGCGTGCTGAGAAGGGGATTGAGACTGGGCGTGGGGGCGCACGTCTGTAATGCCAGCGCTTGGGAGGCTGAACACAGCCGGATCACAACGAGTCCGACTTACACAGTGAGACCCTGCAGACTCTGTACTTTAACACACACACACACACACACACACACACACACACACACACACACACACAAATAAATAAAATGAAGAGGGTGGCCAAGAAGAAGAAAAGCCAGACATTCAGAAAGTCTGTTTTATGACTGTCTCTGTGTTTGTATAAAATCAGGCAGACCTGTTCGGGGCTGGGCTGAGCAGGGGGCATTTCAGAGTGGGTATCAGCTTCCTGGCCCCTTCTGCGACCATTTCAGATGATCTGGTGGGGGCGCTGTGTGGGGCTAGCCAGATGTGCCCTGAGTGGAAACTGGGGTCCCTCCTCCAGCCTCTCGAAACTGTAGAAATGGCTTTGCCAAGAGGGTCCACAGCTCTGTGCGGGCGGAGGCCTCGGTCCTAGCTGTTGCGGGTACCAACTGTACCGACAGCCGCGGGTGGTGACTGCTAGGCTGGTCCTCACCGTTGGGTGCTGAGAAGAACATCAGGCACAGGCAGCAGCTGGATGCCACGATGGAATGAAGCCAATGTTCTTCTTTCCACCTAAGGTTTTCTGAAAATCGCTCCTTTCCCGCCACCATGGAAGTGCGTCCTTAGGGAGGCTGCCACTGGCTATTGAGATGCGGAACTAAATATTTATTGAAATTAATGGGCTTGAGGGCTGGCCAAAGAGTTCACTGGATTAAGGCACCTGCAAGCAGGTGCAGGGGCTGGGGTTCGATCCCCAGCCTGCTGTGCCAGCCTTGCTCCTGGGGTGCGCTGAGATAGCAATTGAGACTGGGTGTGGTGGCGCAACCCTGTAATCCCAGCTCTTAGGAGGCTGTAAACTGGCAGATCACAATGAGTCTGATCTAGTAGTGAGACCCTGAACACCCTGTAGACCTTCCTCCCCCCCCCCAAAAAAAAAAAAAAAGAAGAAAGAAAGAAATTAATGGGTTTACAGAGATTGGTGCATAGGGACCTAGCTGTGCCAGGTAGAACTGTTTAAAAAACATTTTCCTGAGCTTAACTGATGTCACAGGTCATAGGGCAGGAACTTGACTTCTTTCTCTAAAAATAACAACAAAAAATTAATTGTACCTGAGGCGCCACAGCCATTTCTCAATGATGTTTTATCAAAGGCTCCACCTGCTTTACATGAGTAGGAGCCTATTGGTTCCTACAGCTGTCACCACACTCAGGACTGTCTCCTTGAGCCACTCTGAGAGCAAGCAAGCAGCACTCCTGGCACCGAGCTTCTTCGGGGCAGTGAGAATTAGAGCCAGGGTGAGCATCACACCTGGGTTAAAGGCAAGTCACTTGGGCAGATGTGGCACTCCTCCAAAAAGAAACAGTCCCGGGCCGGCACAGGTTGTCCTCATGGGTGGAGGCTGCAGCAGGTGACAGGTGCCTGCCAACAGCGCCACTTGGGGTGCAGAGAGTGGTGAGCATGAAGCTGATTTTGGTGTCAGCTATTGTTCGAGAGTGATTTGTTTAGACAGCAAGCAGGAGAGGAAACAATGAGTGGCCTGGGTGGAAGAAGTTGCAAGAAAATGGGCCACCCTGTTGTGCAGCTAATGAGGGGACCAGACAGAGGTCGGGTGCTCGTGCCCACGGTCATCCTGCTGCTGCCTTTTCTATTGTCGTTGAAAAAACACTCATCTGAAGTGGTGACACATAGAAAGTGGTGTGGACACGTGGTGGGGGAAAGGAATTCCCTATGCACCAGGAGGAAGAAACAGCTGAAAGACTTCTGAGAAGCTTTTTAGCTGCGGTTGCTGCCCCAGAGTGATTCTGGCCAAGGGCTTTTGGATGCTCCAGCTTGTTGATGGCCGTGTTGTTGCCAACAGCTCATGGCTCCGTTAGACATCAGCAGCCCCACAGTAACATTCAAGTGCTGCGGAATTAGGGAGATCAGAAACTGGCAGGCGCCAGCAGAACCAGGGTCCCAGATTCATACTGCATGTGTGGCTGTTACAATGGCATGGTCGGAGGGACGGCTTATTTCAGGATGGATTTGTTATATCCCAAATCATCTGTACATGGCCCAGGGAACAGAATTGTGCCTTTTTTTTGAACAAATGAAACTAATTCTTAGTATTGGAGATAGTACACATTCAATATTGCTTATATTTTTAGAAATCTCTATGAGAAAATTCAAGTCCCTCTATGTAGGTCTTCTTAAGTACCTCATTAGGACACCATCATTTTGGGAACATTTATAAATTCAAGTGACCTAGAAGTACACAATAAGTATTAAGTCTAACTGAAATATGAAAAAAGCAGCCAGAAATAATCTTGCTGTGGCAGTTGAGCAGTGAGTGGGGTAGAAACACAAAGGGTCTTACAATTGGGTGATAAACGTGGTTTTACTCAGGGCAGTCAACCTTTCTAACCTTATAATTTCTTCTTTTTCATCTCCCTGTATGTTTAATGAAAGCCCTTTCAATACATTTTTAGGGAAAATACGATACCTGGCTCTAGATCTGTTCTTTTAAGTATTTTCTTAAAAACCTAAAATCAGATTGCATTCTCATTTCCCCTGACCAATGTTGCTTTGATTTTTTTTTTAAATCTATTTATTTATTTGGTACAGGGTCTTGCTATGAAGCTCGGATTCATAGTGATCCTCCTGCCTTAGCCTCCCCAGAGCTGGGATTGCAGGCATGTGCCACCACGCCTGGTTTGGGGCCAGCACAGTGCGCCTGGGGTTCTGGGACCAGCATGGCATGCAGTACCAGAGATCAAACCTGGGTCCTCGCATTGCCAGGCAGGCACGTAGACTGCCAAGCTATCTCCCCTGCCTATACTTTGATT